TTGGAGGTTTTGATGGAAACATCGAAAAACCACTCAAAATCGTGTTTTTTTGAGCCACTGCTCCCTTTTCAGAGAACTGGGTGCACGGTGGAAGGGTGATTGTGTCATTGGTAGATGCTCTAGACATGTAAGGTGACTATAGGAGGTTTTCATCTGTCACCTGTCAACTGTCACTTTTTTATGACGTTTTGAAAATTTCTTTATCGTTTTTCGACGGTTTATTAAAAACATTAAGTCTATTAAAATTGTTTGACGATGTGAGAACAAATAAATTTGTTATACAAGGAGGTTTTATTTTAAAACACTACGTTTTTCCACCACTCATTCATTAATTTTCCTGTATACTTAGGAATAATTTTAAAATAAGGTCGTACAGCTTAAAAATATCTTCGTATCTTTAACAATAAAACAGCTATCGATCAATTACGCACTGATGAGACACCCTGTATATGTATAATAGGCTACATAGGTAAATTTATAATGAATTTGATGCTAAAATAATATACATGGTGTTGCATTCAAATTGGGTAAAATGAAGTTAAAATGAGCCATATTTACGAGATGTTTTAAAATCAAAACCCTCTGTATAAAATAAACTAGATCTATCATGTCTATTCGTTAGTTTGGTATCTTATAAGCCTGTATTTTAAATAATGTTCAAAGCATTGATAAACTACTTAAATTCTGATAATTTTATTTAGGGTCTCTATCATTTTATATCACAAAAAATTAATTGCTTGGCAATATTTTTTAAAAATATTCTAGGCTTTAATACAGTATTTCCTAAGAATTGTAAAACTGAGATAAAAATACAGTGTTCCATTTAACATATATATAGTTTTACTTTCCTAGCAAAAGCGTTGTTCAATCAGAACATAATAAAATAACATCCTGTACATCAAAGTTTAATTTATTTCACCATAAATTAAACAGTTGAAATTAGAACGATTTCTGGTCGGCGAACCTGAATACTGCAACTCAGCGAAAATATCTAGTTCGTTGTTTAATTAATTAGCAAAGTTTTGTTATCTTATTTTTAATATTATTGAAATTATGCTCTTTAACCCCACGTTTCGTCTATCCAACATCCTTAAAATTAATATAATAATTATTAAAAAATAGCCCTTATTTTTTAATACAAATTAGTCATTGGTCCTTCGAGCAGCAAAAGTGTAAAAAATATTAAATTAATAGTCCAGAAAAAAATGCCTACAAAAAGCGAAGAAATAGACAAAATAGCAAAAGATCAAGAAAAAATTGGTAAGCAAATAGTACAATTGCTTAGCAATGCCAAAAAAAGACTCGTCATCTAGAAAAACAGAAGAGTATATTGCAAATAAAACTGAAGAAAGAGAGAAGGTATTGGAGTAAGCGAATGAAAACCATTTCAAAGCCTTAAAAATAGGTCTCTCCGATCATGTGTATTTTACAAGTCAGTATTTTGATCAAATAAAAGGGAAACACGATGAATACAAGGAATATCTGAAAGATTGTTCAAAAGCAGACCCAAATATACAACCAAATAGTAATGAAGAAGTGGAACAGCAACTTAGAATCAAAAAACAAATGGTAAAAATGGAACAATTCAAACGCACTATCCAACAAATACAACAAGAAGCAACCCAAGGTAAAACAAAATACAGGTATAAGGCATTAACCAACAAAGTGCAAAAACAATGGGATGCAATAATAGAATTACATGAGGAAATTATGGTATACGAAACGCGTTTTACACATGAGTATTTTGTTATGGACAGATATATAAGTATGGAAAACCAATATGAAATAGTAATGGAAGAACTGAATACAAAAACAAAAGAAAATTCAGGTAATACTCTAGAAAGTATTAAATCCAATGTGGTATTACCAAAAATAAATATTCCCTTCTTTGATGGCAACTACGAGAATTGGTGTTCCTTCAATGATATATTTCAAAAGGTTATACATGAAACATCATTATCAAAAACAGAAAAGATGCAATATCTGAAAACCAGTTTAAAGGGTGAAGCCTTCAAGTTAATACAGCACTTTAAAATTACTGAAGATAACTATGAGATCGCTTGGAACACACTACAGAATAGATATGAAAACAAGCGCCAGATATTATCCACATTATTAGATAGAATAATAGATTTACCAGTATCCAAACGAGAATCGCCGAATGATATCAAGCTATTACATGATGTAACCGCTGAAAGCCTTCAAGCCATAAAGAACTTGGGAGTCAAGACGGATTATTGGGGTCCATTACTAACACGTATCATAATGCGAAAGTGGGATTCAGAAACAAACAGAATTTATGAGCAAAGCCTAACCGAACCAAATGAGATACCACATTTTGAAGATGTCATGAAGTTCATCGAAAGACGATTTTAAGAACTAGAAAAATCTAGTACCGTTAAGAAGCCAAATGGGTTCTCCCAGACTGATTTTAAGCCAAAAAGTCAAGACTGCGTTACATAGCATATACCAATGCATACAATTTAAAACATTGTCTATAGCTGATAGAAACCAATTTATCAGAAACAATCGGCTTTGTTACAACTGTATGACACAACTGTATGACACGTAACACACTGTATATCCAAAAATATTTTAATATTATGTGTTTTTCAAATCTATATAACTTTTATTAAAAACTTGTTTGTGTGTTTATGCCACAAATTGAAATATCGACCAATTAGGTACATCATTTAATTAGAACCTGTTAAATCCTTGCTATGTTAAATTCACAAACATAATATTAAAAACAAATTCATAATGCACTAATTTAAGAACTTTTTCACATGCCTACGGGGTTATAAAGACAATTCACTACATAGCGGCTTGTCTACATTCATAGAAGCATACTTCTTCAAATGACGTTACAAAACGTCATGGGCATGGGGGAAAGAACTATCATGACGTTAATGAACGTCATGGGCAGCGAAAGTGTTCACTCAAAACAAGTTTAATAATTTGACTTCCAGTAAAATCTCACGCAACATGATTGTTTTCAAGAATGGTCCGGAGTCCTTTAGTTAAAAAAAATTAATACATAGTAATAATTAATATCAAAGGACAAGGAACATTTTAAATTGGCTCTCTGTAGAAAAATTTGAATTTTTTGCCGTTTCGCTAAAATTCAAAAATTATGTAGATATTTTCATTTTGTGTAGTATAACAATGAAACTAGAATGCAAGAAACATTTTAATTCATTTTAGAATATAACCGCGTTGATGCGATAATTTCTTACATCTACAGGGTGCACTAAAAAAATAAGACACGCGATTTTCGTTTTAAATACAGATAAAAGTAATAAGTCATTATTTTTTTTTATTTTACTGCTTTCATTATCTATTTTTTTTTATAGTGTATACTTTAAATGTGCTTTTATTGTAATCAATAAATTATACTTAATTTAAAAAATATGTCATTTACATTTAAAATGTGCCATGTCCTTTGAGTCTGTTGTAAATAAATGTATATAAAAAAATAATATACCTAATATATTACCAAATTAATTAATATCATTTCATTCATTTACGATCGGTCAATCAAACATAAACCAAAATAACTTTACGCGCGGCGAGATGAATGCGAAGATGGCTTTTAAGAGTTGTAAGTAGGGATGACTGAAGATGATTCTCTCTATACATAGGGAGCCTTTCATTGGAGTATCTCGATGTAACTTTCGACCATATAAACAATAGATAAATACACGAAACTAATTAATGTCTTTTTTGTATTTTTTTAACCAATTTAATTTATTACATGTATGTTCAGTAGATATAATAGGAACACCATTATTCGCCAAAAGCCAAAATTTGCAAACTACGAAATCAATACTTGCTAGGGATGAATATGATACAGATGAAGATCATTCTTTTCCATCTATCAATATAGCATGTAGTTTTTTATTATTGTCTTAGCCAAGTTAATCATTTTAGATGAACGTCCGGTAGATGAAAAAGAAACACTATCTCTTTTTAAAGGATAAAATGTTGTAATAACCGAATGTGATAATGATTATGACAACAGAGCATCGTCGTCAGATAACTATGATCCTGATAACGAATCTGACAGTACAAGCAGTTCTTCTAGTTTCTCCACATCCTTAAACTCTTCCAAGGACACAAGTCAAGAAGCAAGTAAGTTAAAAAAAATATTTCAAAATACAAATACTCATTGCTTTTTATTTTAGAAGAACTTCCACTAAAAAAGAAGAAAAATATTGGTACTTGGAAAAAAAATATCAGGAAACAAAAAAGACTTAGAGGAAAGGCATACTTAAATGTTAAAAATATCGAGAAACCAACAAGACCGTTACTACCATGCCCTTGCGCTGGCAAACCAAACATAAAGGCCTCGAATCTGTTTCAGAAAAGAATAGGTCAAACGTTTATGAAGAATTTCGGCAACTCTCGTCATTAGATGATCAGCGGAATTTCATAATTCATCATGTTGAACAAATGCCAGAAATCTAGAAACTTCTAGAAGGGTAAACACCTATAATTATTTTCTTACCGTTGATGGACAAAAAATAAGGTGTGCAGCGAATTTTTCATATCTACACATAATGTAATAGATTCATTCATAAGAATATCTTTACAAAAACGATACTCTACTGAAACAGTAGAAAAAGACCGCCGTGGTAAACACACCCCTACTAATAAGTTAACTGAGGATTGTTTGCAAATGGTACGTGATCATATTTTATCATTTCCTGCAGTTGAGTTCCACTATTATAGGTATTCAAGTAAAAAAAAATATTTGAACCCTACCCTTAACTTGTCCATAATTCACAATATGTACAAATCACTATGCAAAGAAAAAAATATTCGCTCTGTTTCAATTGAAAAATACTGGGAAATTTTTTAGAGAATACAACGTGGGTTTCTTCAAGCCAAAGAAGGACCAGTGCAAGATATGTTTGCCACAGAAAAATATAAATGGAGAAGAAAAAGAAGCCCAAGAACAAACTTTCCAGCAACACTTGAGAAGAAAGTAATTAGCACGTATGGCTCGCAGTGGTGATAAACTGAAAGCAATAGGCAATTCTACTATATTAGCATTCAATTTTGATCCTGAAGCTGTACTCACAACTCCAAAAGGATCTGCAGGACAGATATTTTACTTGCGTAAGTTAGCTGTTTATAACTTGACAGTTTATAATATTGAAAATCAAGATGGCATTTGCTATCTATGGGATGAAACCCAGGGTAAGAAAGATTCAAATGAAATCGCTTCTTGTATCTATGAACACGTATTATCTAATGCAGAAGTAAAAGAAATTAGAATGATGACAGATGGCTGTAGTGTAAGGTGTCCGTTATTTACCAATTTGATTTTTGAGTTTGCAACGCCCCTAAAACGTTTAGTGTATGACCCAAAAAAAAATATCGAACCCATATAAGCCCTTAATATTGATGATAAACCGTGCCACAAAGGTTCATTTCCCATTTAAATAACATGGGGTTTTTGTAATTTTTGCAATCAATTATTTTTGTAGTAAATTTAACGCTCTACAAAAAATTCTTAGTAATTTTTTCGATAAATTCACTTGCTAAAAAGTTATTCAAGCTCAAAGTTGAACTAAAAATAACTTATTAATTTTCTTTGTATTTTGACTTTCTTCTTAATAAATTCTACTTTCCTCTTTTCAATAATTTTGACAGACTCAACAAAATAGCTGAATCAGATATTTTTGTAATAAAGAATAAATTGTAAAACAAATAATAATATTGTTTTTCAGTCAAAATACAAAGAAAATTATTAAGTTACTTTTAGTTCAACTTTTAATTTATCGAAAAAATTACTAAGAACTTTTTGTAGAGCGTTAAATTTACTACAAAAATAATTTATTGCCGCAGCTTTGTATGAGCTGGCTGAGGAACGAAAAATTGATTGCAAAAATTACAAAAACCCCATGTTATTTAAATGGTAAATGAATTGCCTTTGTGGCACGGTTTATCATCAATATTAAGGGCTTATATGGGTTCGATATTTTTTTTTGGTCATATACTAAAAATTTTAGGGGCGCTGCAAACTCAAAAATCAACTTGGTAAATAATGGACACCCTACTGTCGTGGCCAACAAAAAAATTCAAATTTTGCTGCTATGTGTATGCACCCCATTTCTGTTCATCCTAGCTTGAAAATCATAGATCATACATTTTTCCAAACCGGACACATTGAAATGGAATGCGATTCCATACATTCCAAAATTGAGCAGAAAGCTAAGCATGTTCCTGTATTCGCTGTGTGCAAGACTGGTAGCGCTCTCTGGTGACGGGATAGCGACAGTTATCCTCATTCATTCCCGCATACTTGCTATACACCTCACACTCAACAGTTGAACTTGAAAATTCTTTTTCAACAATTAAGTATTGCAACAAGTTTTGTGTTCGCTGTTAGTTGATAGACTAACAAAAATTGTTTCTGTCGCACAAAAAGTAAGTAGGGTAACATGGTCAACAGTGAATCAGTGGTACACAGTGAACCATCCCTACCACAATGTCATTTATGGGTTAAACTTTTATTGCATTTCATCTATTTGTAGCTAACCACACTGCCTATCTGTCTATTTAGTGAGCGACTTGTATCGGCGACGATTAGACGTGTTTTAAGGTTAAGTTTTGTTTTGGCTGTACGTTGAAAAAAACTAGGTAAGTAATATTTTGTCAAGCATGTTCTTATTATTGATTTTTAACTATTACTTTCAATTCAGATATATAAAGTGGTTATTAGTTTATAAAATAACGACTAAAATGATTACATAGTGATATCTTGTAAACAGTTATTGAATTTCAAAAGTAAATAGATCAGGTGGTACTCAGTGGATCAGAAGCTTGTGGTACACAGTTGATCATGATCCACTATGTACCATGTGATTTATAACAAGGTTGTGCTAATATTATTTACAAATTCAATCTTGTTTTTATTTCAGAATGCCACGAAATAAGAAAGAAAAATAGGTGATCACACCAAAGAAGCAATGCTAGCAGCACTTAATGCTATTAGGGAAGGAAACAGTATACGACACGTTTCTTCAGAATCAAATATACCTTTTACTACCCTACGAAGGTATTATGCAAAGACCAAAGAAACTGACCTAGTAGGTAACGTAAAATTAACACCCAACTATGAAGTCAACCGAGTTTTCTCGGAAGTACAAGAAAATATTCTTAGAGACTATTATAAAGATTGTGCTTTATTATTTTACGGGCTGACTTCCAAAGATTGTCGTCATGTAGCCTTTGAAATGGCAAGGTATAATAATATAAAAATGCCTTCCTCGTGGGAAACGAATCAAATGACAGGTATTGACTGGCTTAGGGGTTTTCGGAAACGTCATCCTGAACTCTCACTTAGAAAACCAGAAGCATGTAGCCTTGCGAGAGCTACATCATTTAATAAAGAGACAGTGACAAAATTTTATGATAATCTCGAAAACGCAATTAAAATCCAGCATTTTCCGATGGATGCAGAATATTTAACCTCGATTAGACAGGCACAACCACCGTGCAGAAACCTCATAAAGTAATAGCCCTGAAGGGCCATAGAAACCTTTGCAAAGTTACTAGTGGCGAAAAAGGAGTTTTATGCACAACATGCTGCATCATAAGCGCTCCAGTAATAATTTTCCCACGAAAGAAGGTAAACCCTAGAATGGGTATTGGTACTCCACCGGGAACTTTGATTTTAGCGGCACAGTCGGGTTGGATGAACAGCGATTTATTTGTAGATGTTATGAAACATTATATCAAGCACAGTGGTAGTTCATTGCAAAATCCCAGTATTTTAATAATGGACAATCATGAATCGCATCTATCCATTGAATCGTTAGATTTGGCAAAGGCATCCGGTGTGATTGTACTCACATTACATACTCATACTTCAGCGAAAATGCAGCCTCTAGATGTGTCAATTTTTGCACCATTTAAGAATTATTATCATTCTGCCATGGATTCTTGGATGATGCGTAATCCAGGACAACCGATTACTATTTATGATGTTGGACAACTAATTGGAATCGCATTTAAAAAATCCATGACACCATCCAATACACGTCAAGGATTTAACAAGACAGGATTAGTACCATTCGACAGACACAAATTTAAGGACGACGACTTTTTGCCTAGTACGGTAACAGATAGGCAAAATCCAGATATACTACAAGATACTGAAGAACATCAAACTGCTGAAGTACTACTGGAGAAAAAAATTAATTTAGCTCCTTCGACATCAGCAGGCCCATCAAAAGATTGTCAAATATTAACTCCTGATCAATTTAGACAGCCACTAAAAGCAAAGCCAAGAACTGGGAAAAGAAAACCAAGAAAGTTAGGACGAAGTTTAATAGCTACTGATACACCGGAAAAAGCAGCAATTGCAGTCGAAAGGGAGGCTGCTAAAAGAAGAAAAGAAATGAAAGGTAAAAAAGGTAGTGTTCGTAAAGTATTGCAAAGCGATTCAGAAGACGAGGAAGAAGTTGTGCTGCATGATGAATCTGACGATGATGACATTGATTGTTTTGAAGAGGAAAAAGAAAATGATCAAATGACTTTAACTGAAAACTGCTTGCAAAATCCACTTTGTCGATCACCAACTGTGGGGGATTATATTATTGTGGAATTTAGCACAAAAAAACAAAAAATTTACTACGTAGCTAAGGTATTAGAAAGTAGAAATACTTCCATGGAAGTGTACGTTAGTTTTTTAAGGCAAAAAACTGACCAACTATTTCATATCCCCAACGTCCCGGATTTAGCATGTGTTAATGACCATGACATAATATTTATTTTACCGAAACCTACAGTTACTGGAAGTACTGCAAGGCAACAATCTTGTTATAAATTTCCCATTAATATGTCAAATTTAAATCTGCGTTAGATTATTTTAGGTATATTTATTCTTGTAAATGAGAATTTAAGTTTTACGTTATATTTACCTATGAATAAATTTTATGTTACTTTTGTGTTTATTTTTTGTTGCGTATTCACTGTTAACCAATGGCCGATTCAGTGTGTACTAACTATAGTAAACAGTGGATCATTTTCATTTTTTTAAAAAAACTAAGACAGACATTTCAAAAAAATTTCTACGGTGTTCAATCTAATATAAATTGGACACTAGACACTTAAGGCAACCTGTGCTCGAATTTGCGACAATTCAGGCGTTTAACTTTGAAGATAAGAGCAAGTTAAAAAATACTGATTCACTGTTGACCATGTTACCCTAAATGACATAAAAATATTTGGAGGTTATGCATACGAAGTATCTGCGTTTTGAATGTCATAAATCAATGTAATTTGTCTGTATTTTTAGATGCTACATTTTTGTCATGAGTGTCATCTTGTACACTGGATTTGAGAAAATATCTCATGACATAAACTTTCAGCCTGAAACGCCAAGAAAAGGTAAAGATTTGGTAGAAGCTGGGCATGTCATAAATGTCGAAGATCACAGAGAGTCAGGTGTTGGCCTTTTTATCCGAGCTGGTGTCATTAGACAAACGTCTGTCACGAAAAAAGAATATCTTGTAGAATTGCATGTAAGATAAAAATTGTGTTGTAATCCATTTATTATTGACAATAATAAAAATAATCGCTACTACGATGATGTGGACAATCGCCGACTCCTGCCACCATAGGCGCTGCGATAGCTCAATCTATCCCCTCCAAGCCAAATGCACACAGCGAATACATTCCTGAAGGTTGGGCGCAAGTAATACCGAGGTGCTCGTATGAAACCACGCTCATTTGAAGTTAAGAGCAGAAGTTTTGATGATGTTTATTATTTTAAAGAATTTGCAGCGCAAAAATTTGAGATAAACAAAATACCATAGCGTAAGGTTTGCTGGATTCGTTATCTTAAATCGGACATGACAAAGGTGTTTTACAAAATAGATTTTGAATAAGAATTTCAAGAGATGAACTGCATGAAAAAATATCAGGATTTACAAAAAATGTGGTTTGATTTGACAATCCCAAAAGTTCATCATAGTTTTTACAAGTCGCTAAAAGTTAATAATAATATTAGGGATAGATTACCAGAACCAGATTCAAGCATATAAATTTATTTCCTATTGTATTTGCAGTATTTTTTGAGAAAACCTTTCTTTGTTTTTATAGTTTATTTTACCAATGATTTAGGAATTAGGTTGTTTTGTGTTCTTAGATTTATAGCTCGTGAATGTATCCTAGTTTCCCAATAAAAATACCTGTTTAATGATATTTCAAATTAATAAAAATATTAAAAATCAATGTACTGTAAGTAATTTAAAAGAAAATTATGCAATGCCAAATCCACGAATGTGACATTTTGGAAGGTGGGGGCTAATAAACAGAAAAAATAATAGACAAGTCATAAACTGTCAAAATAGATCCTATACCTGCCAGGAAATGAAATTATTCCGACAAAAATCCGAATTTTCAGAGTATTAAAACCTTAAAAAATAAATATCTCTAAATCACGATTTTTCATTCATGGCTTTGGCATTGGACCGACGACATTGTATATTTAAAGGCGGAACTGTGCGTTTTGATCTAAAGGCAAGATTTATTTCATTTCACTCTTCATCTTCACGTTTGTTGTGAGTTAGATCGAGCACTTCAACATTGAGTTTTGGACTGAATCGATGGAATGTATAGTTCAATTCTCACAAAAATCGTAGGTAGCGTGTAGGGCTTCCTTAAAATAGATGCTCTTCTCGCTTCGATATGGCACAGTTCCGATCTAAAGGCAAAATTTAATTAGTTCATTTCACTCTTCACCAGATGTGAGTTAGATCAAACACTTCACGTTGAGTGTTGGGATGAATCGATGGACTATACTGTTCAAATCTCACAAAAATCGTACAGTGTAAGGCCCATTTAACGCGTGAAATTTCTCGGTCCATCTCCAGCTTTCAGCTGTAAGTATCGCAAATAGCTTTGAGCCTAACGTTTTTTCGTGATCTAATACGAACCCTAACCACTATATGTTCGGTCTTTTCATAATTTTATTTCAAATATTTATTAGGAAACTTATGTTTATGTTTATATTTGTTTATAATCAAATCCCTAATTTTTTTTTTGGAGTTGCTTTACCGCGACCCATTTTTAATAACGAATAAAAAAATTACGTTAGAAACTGTCACAAAGATATCGTCCCACTTTCAACAACTTAAAACGTCAAACCACAAAATAAGTTAGTGTTTCATTATGCTGCCGTGCTAAGCACAAAGGTGGTAACTAACTTTTTTAAGAAAAATGAGTTTTTGATTATAATACATTAAATTAACAATTTTTTAACAATATTATTAAGTTATTAAGCAAAAAATGTCAATATTTTATTTAAAATAGATCTATAAAAATAGTCATAACTTTCTTTTCTACCTCAAAGTGCCGTATCTACAAAAAACTGAGGTGTTTTTATTGTTTTTGAAAACAAATACGTCCATAACCCTTATTATTTTTCAGATACGTCAAAAATGCTTTAGTAAATTTGTTAAAAATTTCAGTAAAGTTAAAGTAGGAAAGAGAAGATTGGCGTTATTTTATAAAAATTCGATTAAGAACCCACATTACAAAATAGTTATTTTCCTTAAAGTGAAATTAATTAAAGACGGTATTTTAGAACCAAATAAGAAAAAGACGGCTAACGGAATTTCCAAAGATAAAAAGAAGCCTTCAAATGGTATCATACCAAAAACTAGGTTAAAATTTTGGGAAGATTTAGCGAAAAATGACTGTGAAGATAATAACGATGAAGTAAAAGATTAAAGTACTGAGAACTGATATTACTAACAGATTTAACTAATACAGAGACCTCAGAAAAACTTCAGGAAACCTGCAACAGAATTAATCGATGGACAAAAAAGTGGAAAATAAAAATAAATCAAACTAAATCAGTGCATGTTGATTTTACTCTTCGATCAAATGAACAAAAACAAATAAGAATAAACAATGACGTTATTCCGCATCACGATTCGGCCAAATACCTAGAGATGAACCTAGATGTAAAACTTAAATGGAAAGAGCACATAAAAAAAAGCGTAAAGAACTTGAACTTAAATTCAAAAAAATGTATTGGCTTCTAGGAAGAAAATCCAAATTGACAGTGCACAACAAACTACTAATTTATAAACAAATCCTAAAACCAATCTGGATTTATGGCATACAGCAATGGGGATGTACCAGCAAGAGTAATATCAACATGATTCAAGTTTTCCAAAATAAAGTCCTAAGGTGTATTGTTGATGTACCTTGGTTCCACCGAAACGATTATCTTCATAGAGACCTGAAGATGCCAACAATCGAAGACGAAATAAAGAGGTTTGCTGCGAAACATGAGGGTCGACTCCACTCCCACGTCAACGAAGAAGCGCTGCAATTACTGGACAACTCTACACTCAACAGAAGGCTCAAAAGGAAGAAGCCATTTGAGCTAGTGCAGTGAACGTTAATGTTAGTGCTAGTGTAAAACAGTGTAATAAATATTCACGCCAACTTGTGATGCTTTCCTATAGAAACAATTAAGACTGCCCAATGGGGACTTCTTAGATAAGTAATTAGTTTGTAAGATTTTTAGAGTAAAATTGTAGGTTAGTCAGTAATGACTAGTAACAATATTCTAAAAAAAAAAAAAAAAACTAACAGATTTAATGTTATGCAATTCAATTATCATCTGTAGCTTTTATTTCTTCCTTTTTTATATTCTTTTTTTTGTCATTACTTAAAATTGCTTCATAACAAAATTAATTATTATAACTACTATCTCATTAATAAAGATTTCAATTTATAAAACAAAAATAAAATAAATGTGAATGATCATTAATTACATACGGCAATATGATGTAGTAATAAACAATTGAAAAAAATAGATTAATTAGTGGTAAGTTGAAAAGATTATGATTTTTGTATCAAATCAAAATGACTTTAAACAGTCACACCTGGAACTTTATGTCAATTTTTAGAACCACAAAGTTGACACATCGAAATATCTAAATTTCTCGAATTCAAGTTTATTACAGTTACCACCTTTGTGCTTAGCATGCACATACTTTGATTACTATACGGTGCAAGAGAGAAGTTCGACACGCCCAACATAGGACGCGGCCATTTTGATTCCTATGCCACAGTTTATAGCTAAAGAATCAGATCGCTCACTTGCGTCGGCACTTTTGATCTCAATGTTCCAGTTTATGCACTGCGCAACTCGGATAATACAATATATGACAACTGCCTATAATAAAACAGCAGTCTTCTGCGTATCCTTGTATCCCTGGAGTGGATATTATTTTGGAACTTTCAACTGGTCCGAGTGAGCTAACTGATTCTTTAGCAATAAACTGTGACTTCAAAAATAATATTCACTGACACTGACAGCAGCAAGCAAAATATCAGGTGCGTTTTAATCATCCGCTTCTGCTTCCGGAATTGTCGGTTTAGTCGTTTTAACCTGTCAGATTAAAACAAGAAAACCGACAATTCCGAAGCAGAAGCGGATGATTAAAACGCACCTATTAAAAATATTGCGCCAAGATGTAGGCAACACGTAATAAGGGATCAAAATGGCGGCGTTTTCTATCTCCTTTTAAAAGGCACTCAGAAAGCTTCGCAGTGCGACCATTCTTCGTATAGTAAAAGAAAATCAAAGTATGTGTTAGCATGGTATGCGCGTCAAACACGTAAAAAATTCTAAACGTCAAAAATTCCAAAGCCTTCCAATCATTAAATTTAATAATTGCGGAGGATATTGTTCGAACATTTAAATGGTCATTTATCTTTAGATTAGATAAGATCATGGTGCATCTTGCTCTCACAAATAGTAGAAACATTAACAACTATTAAATTTAAGTAATTTTTAAAAAATAGATGTTCTTCCTCAACCTTAAGTTTCCTAATATATAACGGAAATAAAATTATAAAAAGGCCGAATATATAGTGGCTAGGGCTCGTATTTGCAGACAGCCAGCATTCTCTCAGCATTGAAGTATAAAAATACAAAAACATATAGAGTATTAAGTTTCTAAAAGCAAACGTGTGGCAAGTTCACCTAACCACAAATACATTGTGATTGTATATATGTATGCAGATGTAATTTTCATCAGTTTTATTAATCAATGCAGGGTGGTAATAAGTAAAAGTTACAGTCCACAACTCTCAGTACAACTCCAGCTATGTTCAAATGTAGGGTTCATACATGGTGTGAATACCTGAATCCGCGTTATGTATCTACTGTTTATATGATCGAGGATGTAACGAATTATTATCAAGTTTCTCATGACAAAGAATTAAATTTTTATGAAACTAAATGTGTATAGATTAGTATAGAATGGCAAAAGGAGATTTTGAAGTTCGTGCACGATTGACTGGTATCACAAGCAAATTTATTTTACAAACAACTATATGTTTATAGGGGTGGGTGGCTCAGTGGCAGAGTCTCTGCCTGTGGATCCAAGGGTTCTAGGTTCGAATCCCATCGCTGGCCGGGATTTTTTAAATTAATTTAATTATTTAAAATTAATTCTGATGACTTGGTAGGATTCCCCACTCGACCATTCACTGTTAGGTTCTAATTAACAATGCTGTCCCTAAAGTGGTGCTGGGAAACAGTAACAAATCCTACACAGAACACGAGGCTAATGGTCTTAGTAGTCGATGCCGATGACACCAAATAAAAAAAACTATATGTTTATATTTTTACTATGCTTCAATAAATTACTTAATAAAAAATTATTGTTTGATTCACCCTCGTTTTCTATAATATGGAGTGATCCATAAAAATGTTTTTAAAGTCAGCCATGGAAAAATTACAAATGTCAGAGCGTACAATTCTTGGTTTATTCTAAATGCCAGTTTGAATTTAATTCAGAGCCATGCGTACTTATAACGAATATGACTCGTATCTATCTTTGTCAGTCATAGCCTACTTTAGAAACATTTTTTTGTGGATCACTCTTTGTAATTCAATAAAGAGGATATTCTAGTTAGCTAGAATTTTTGAAAACATGGGTTCTACTGCATGTAAGTACTAAAAGATTATCTATATATGAATACCTATTTGGCAGTATGGAGTAGTATTAAATAAAAAAAAAAACAAATTATGCAAAAATAGAACCCAGTTTTTCCAATTTTACTCTTTTAATACTTTTCAAATGAATAATTAAAAACATGTTTATCAATATCATAATAAAATTAAATATGAAAATCTAGACTATTATAGATTTATCGATTATTTGGTATTGCATTGTCGTATGCTAAGAGAAAATTTGACACCTTTGTCAATTAAATAATAATTATATATAAAAAAAACAAAATTGAACTATTAAATCGGTTTCCTATCAAATATCTTTCTATCATTCTTATTTAAAAAAGACGAACAGTACACTATACATGTGGTAATCCACTGCTGACTTCCATCATTTCATCTGCGACCGCCATGGGCGCCAAATTGAACGTATTTGCGGCAAAAGGATTATGATGATGGGCATGAGGATGGTGTGGAGGCCCATGATGCGCATGGTGGTGATTTGCGTGTGAGGAGGTTGTACCCGCATAATTATTAGGATCTAAGACATTACTACTATGCTGTGTGGGATGGAAACCGAAGTGCGGCCTATACGAACCGGATTTACGAGGAGATCTGGCTTTAACTACAGTTGGTTTATAAATTTCTTCCAATACAGATGGTGCTATATATGTGAATCCCTGAAAAACAAAACAAAATTAGTCATAACATTCATTGCTTTACACACAACGGTAAAAAGAACATTCTGAATGAACCATAATTAATTTATTTATTTGTTACACAACCTAACAGTAATCACCATTTACTGGGTAGGAAAGACAAAACATTAGAATAAAAATACAAATTTATTAAAAAGCTATACACAATGTAAACATCCAGAAAAAAACTGACCGAACACAGGATAAATAAAAATGGTTGTCTACATTGCATTACATGCTTTACATAATTTTTTTATACACTGTTAAAGAAAAACATTTTTAATCATATATTTTTTACATGTAAAAATGTCCAAACTGTCTTGAATTTCATATTTTTGAATAGATTGGTACATTGGAGACGAGTTCAAAATATTAGTTCTAGAAGCTGGCATGTAGAAACTTAAGTAAAGTCTTAAACCAGCACGGGGGATTTTTAGAATAACGTAATTTAACAAATCAATGCTGTCGACTGAGCCATTTAAAAGATTATAAAGTAAGAGTACCTGTTGGAAATTTCTGCGTATCACGAGCTCTAAAAGATTGAATCTAGATATTAGTAAATCGTGGGGATATCCTCTTGTAGGGTATATACCATCTAAAATGTAGGAAGCCAATTTCATGAATTTTCTTTGAACTTTTTCGAGTAAGTCAACATAAATGTTATGCACGGGATTCCGAACAACAGAACAGTATTCAAGTTTTGACCGTACAAAGCTAATATATAGAATTTTTCAAATAACAAACCTTAAGCTCCTGTTAGCAGCAAATAACATAGTTTCAATGTGTTTAACGAAAGTTAGTTCAGGATCAAAATAAACTCCGAGATCTCTTATACATTCGGATCGATTTAGAACAATGTTCTGTAGTTTATAATCAAAAATTATAGGTGTTACTTTTTTAGTAAAGGAGATTACGGAACAGTTCTCAGGATTTAGAGGGAGTGAATTATAGAGACACCACTTCACAATGTCGGACAAACACTTTTGAAGTCGCAAGCAATGATTAACAGAATTGATTTCAAGCAATAATTTTAGGTCGTCGGCATACATTAAAACTTTAATATGCTCGATATTAGCGACTATATCATTTATAAAAATTATAAATAGAAGAGGACCTAAAATTGATCCCTGCGGACTTCCTGATGTTTGTTCGAAATTTTTTGACCTGTAACCACGACATTGATGCCTACCCAATAAATACGAACCAATCAATTGAATGATTTGATCGCATAAACCAATGGAACATAACTTGTGTAGCAAGATGGAATGATCAATTTTGTCGATGACCTTGGAGAAATCTGTGTATATTACATCTTCTATCCTAGACTTCCGAAATGAATTGCGACGAACATACAAGGTTTGTAACTGTAGATCTATTTTTCATGAATCCATGTTGGTCACAAGATATAAGACGGGAAACATGATTGGAAATATGATCGTAATTATTTGGAATACTTTAGCAAAATTGCAAAGAATGCTTATGGGCCGATAATTACAAACATCATTTTTGTTGCCTTTTTTATGTACCGAAGTAATTCTGGAAATTTTCCAGGCAGTAGGGAAAATACATGATTCAAAATTAAATCAAAAATGTTTCAACCGAGTGGCTAAAATTAGTGAAGAGTCTCTGACAAGAAACGAAGGAATAAGGTCAGTACCCATTGACATATTGGGCTTAAGCTTTTTTAGGGCTCTAATAACTTTATCTTGAGATACAGAATTAAAGTGAAGCAAAGGTAAATTAATGGTAGATTCATGAAGTGATTTATTTGAGTTGGCTTGGAGAAATTGCTTGAAAAGCTTGAACAATTGCCTGTGGATCTTTTATACAGTCATTATTATATTCAACAGTAATGGGTATGGAATAGGAAGAATTTTTAAAATTTATGTATGACCAGAATTGTTTTGGATCATTTTTAATATTATTTTCAATTGATCTTAAATATAAGGAGTGAGCTATAGAAATATCTTGTTTAATTTGTTCTCGAAGGTTCTTAAATTTAGTAAATGCATCTATGGAATAAGCGGATTTGTAGGTTTTTCGGCATTTTTCTTTTTGACGAATTATGCGTATTATATGACCATTAAACCAAGGAGGATAAGTCCTAAGGTTTTTTACCAGTTATATGCTTATTAAATATAATAAACAATTTATTGCTCAAAAGTTGAACACTTTCATCAACGCTGCTTGCAGAATCAAGAACATTCCAATAATTGATATTGAGTAGTGCGTTATATAATTTTGGAAAATCTGCTTTTTTGTAATAATGAAAAAGTTGGGTAAAAAGTGGGAATTATAGATCAGTTTTGATGTACATCTAAAGTAAATCAAGCAAAGTGAAACCATCCAGAACAATAAGAATTATTTACATATTTTCATCCAGTTCTATTCAAGCACTTTGTCACTGTTCATTTCGCATCTATTCAGTGTGAGGTGCAGGACAAATTCCCAGCTAGCAAGGGACGTTGTTTCACGTCATAATCACGTTGAATTTTAATCAAATAGTAATCTCTGATAGTAACGTAATAATGACATCATTTTCGGACCAATTTGACACGTAAACACAGTAACTGCCTTAGAGCATATAAGACTAGAGGTGTTACACAAATTATTTATTTATTTATTTATTTACGGGAAAACCCCATTTTACAATAAAAAATATAAAAATATATGTTATATGCACAAATACAAAATAAAAAACATCAAAAATTGTATCATGTAAAACATTTGATTAAAACATATGATTAAAACATTTGATTAACAAGGCAGACAATAACAGTACTTTCAAGTGTCATTAAGAAAGTGGTTAGCAATACTTATTTTAAATGAAGGATATGAGGGACCAAAAAAATACAAGTCTATTTCTATACTGTTAGCACTCCTAACCAATCGTGTTGATGGACTATAAAAGCCGTAATTTTGTCTATGGTGTCTAATAAAAAAAGTTTCATTAGCTCTGGTTGCACTATTAATTTTAAGACCAATTTTTAATAAAATATCAGGAGAATATATTGACCCAGACAAAAGTTTGAATAGGAAGCATAGATCTAATTGAGTTCTCCGGTTCTGCAAAGTTGTGATTTCTAATCTGGAACATAGGTTAGCATAATCATAATCGTAATTATTTATACGCACTCCTAATTTATATGCTGAGCATCTCAGAAACTTATGTTGAAGCGTTTCAAGTCTATTAATGTGAATGCAATAATAAGGGTTCCAGACAACAGCTGCATATTCCATATTAGAACGAACAAGAGTGCAGTAAAGAATTTTAAAAGAATTTATTGAGAGACCATTAGAGATTCTTTGTATATAACCCAACAACTTTCTGGCTTTTAATGATATCATTGTAATGTGTTCTGAAAAAGTAAGTTTTTCATCAAACATTACGCCAAGGTCCTTTATTTTGGTCACCAATTCAAGATCTAATGAATTGATACAATAAGTATAGTCTATATTAGTATGGCACCTATTAAACTTAATATAAAAACATTTACTTCAATTCAAATTCATACAATTTACACTACACCACAATGCTAGGTTGTTAATAACAGTCTGTAAATCAAAACAATCAGATATACTTTCAACAATTTTAAAGATTTTTAAATCATCTGCAAATAGTAGGAACTGAGACTTTTTTATACAACATGCAATGCCATAGATTAAAAAAAAGCGGACCACAATGGGATCCTTGAGGAACACCAGACAATACTTCAATCAAATAAGAAATGTGATTCCCAATTTTGACCCACTGATACCTACCAATTAAAAAAACTAGATAGCCAATTTAAAAGTTTACCATTGATACCATATTGGCGATCAACAATTCATGGTTAACTCTATCGAATGCTTTTGAGAAGTCAGTATAGACAGAATGTACTTGATACCCCCCTTCAAAAGCACTCAATATTTCATTTTGATAACTTAACAAGGCAGTTACTGTAGATTTCCCTTGTGAAAAACCATGTTGTTGATCAATTATTAGCCCTTTACATTCCCATGACAAATATTCTGTAATGAGTGAATCGAAAATTTTTGGAATGTTAGATTGCAAACATATTCCTCTGTAATTTTTAATGTCACGATTACATCCCGATTTATAAATTGGTCTTATAAAACTGTATTTCCAAAAATTCGGAAATACTCCTGAATCAAGTGAAATATTGTAAATAATATAAATAGGAGTACTAACAGTACAGACACACCTCTTTAAAAAGTAAGATGGAACTCCATCTGGACCACAAGAGAAACTGTCTTTTAATTGAGAAATTTTAGAAAAAACTTTACTCAAGGTCACTTTTACATTATTTACATTAATGGTTTTCTTATAGTTTAATACAGGTACATTACAATCAGTCTTGACATAAACTGTAGATAAATTATCAACAAATAAATTTACAGTATCACAGCCATTATTACTAATTTTATTATTTAGATACATTTCATTCGGAAATTCACCCCTTGATTTATCTTTAGCAAAGCGCCAAAATGATTTAGGGTCTGTCGATATATTGTTCTCAACCCTTGCAATATATTGTTGGTAACATTCATCAGTTAGTGTTTTGCATGTTATTCTTAAGTTGGAGAATAATAAATAATCATTATTATTTCTGGTTTGCATATATAATTTATGTGCTTTCTTCTTCTCAAATATGTAGCTCTTTAGTTCAGAGCTATACCAAGTTGGAAATTTTGTATTGCGTATAATCTTTGTGGGTATAAAAGAGTGAATTGAATAGTACAATACATCATATAGTTGTTGTACTGTAACATTGACATCCGTATTGGTTAAATAAGTAGACCAATCTATTGTAGATAGATAATAATTAATAGCATCATAGTTACCCTGTGAAAAATCAAAAACTTTATCTTCAACATCCAATGCTTTAGTAGGGGGTTCAGTAGGCATGCTAAAAGTACATGCTGTGTGGTGTATACTATTATGGTGCAGTAGATCAACTGCTGAAGAAATTAGTACATCT